TATGCATTTTTTGTTGCAGAATTGTATGAAAAGTAATCAATGCCTTTAAAATATAAAATATATATTACAATAAACTTTTGTGAGCAAGTAGAATAGAAATATAAATCAGAGAAATAGGAATACTATAACATTCCTGAACATTATATAAGAGCTTTTCTTTTATTAATTAAAAATATAGTAGTGGGTACCAAATTTATATATTTTGATTCCATTCTTGTCATTTTATAAAGCAATAATAATAACAATAATATATTATGGTATCTATACAAATACAATATAAAAAACAAGGGGATTAAGAGTGAGAAAAATAATTTCAGTTACACAGTTGTAATATTCCTCCAATGTTTTAAAAATAGTATAAATTTTGAAGGTAGACCATGATAACTTAAAGATAAATAGTGTAATAACTACAGAAATTATCAATAGCACAAAAATATAGCTAAATGGTAATACACGGGAAAAATGGGATAGAACAAAATACAGAATTTACTCATCAAAAGGCAGAAAAGAAATGGGATAAAAACATGAAATACCCGCCTTTGCCTTCGTCCATGTGTCTTTTTCACATGTTCCTTGTTTACCCTTCTCCCCTCCCCTCTTGTTATTGTCAGTTGTTCTTTATTTCCGTCTCTGGTTATATTTTTCTCACTTGTTTGTTTTGTTGATTAGGTTCCACTTATAGGTGAGATAGATGGGGATGGGTGGGGTGGGGGTGTGAATGGTGGGGGGAAAATGGAGAGAACTCTACTTGAAAAAAAATAAAAAAAATCACTTGGCGTCCTTACTACATTTGGAGATCCTTTAGTTCAAAGACCTCAAATGTCTATGGCAAAAGCTTGGAAACTTGCATTTTTAAAAGAAAATTATTTATTCTCACTGAACTGTTGTCTTCATTTTATTATGAGAAACATGGGTTTCCAAAATGCATACTTTTGTTAAATTTTTAATCTGTAATTTAGACCTCTCTGAAATAAATCTGTGTTAAGAAACATGAAAAAAACATGAAATTACAAAATTAAAGAGCTAACCTGAATTATATTGATAATTACTTCAACTGTAAATGACTTATCAAATAAAAGGCATATATTTTCAGTCTAGATTAAAAAAATAAAAATAATCCAACTATATTTTTAAATGATACACTTAAAATGCAGCAAATATATAATTTGAGTAAAAATGAGCATACTATGGTGTGACCCTATCTTGCACTAAGCTGATTTAGAGAAAATAATACCCCAAAGATTTAAATGTTAAGAAGATTAAGTTCTTTAAGAACAATTACAGTACTAAGTGTGTGTACCTTTAAAACTTCTATATGTATGAGAAAAAAGTTGGGATAAATAAGTAAATAAATAAATACAAGGCATAGCTTGAGATTTTAACAACTTTATCTTAGGATTTGATAAAATGGACCAACAAGTGATAGTAAAAATATAAATAATTTGAAAAACATTATTAACAAGTAAGTTGACACTTATTGAATGTTACACAGAACAAATGCACACTTATTAGAATAGACTATAGAATTGGTACTAAGACATGTCTTAATAAATGGCTTGAAATCATTAACTTTATACCATCTGACCACTATGGTATTTAATTAGAAATGAATAGATATCTGATAATATATCTGAAAAAATCTCTAAGTATTTGGAAATTTATCACCATACCTATACATAAACCATGGAAATAAATAAATAAATAAATAAATACATAAAGCAATATGTTTTAAATGTCATAATTTCTATCAAACTGGAAGTTAACTATTTGGCAACTAATTAAACACAGAATAGAGTATTTAGATGTCAACTTTAGAAATGTGTCAGGGGCTACATAGCTTTGGAAAATTCTCCCAGGAAGGACCAGAGCCCCAAAAAGTGAAATGCACAGCTCACACCCAGGGAGACATTTAGTGAATACCCCGTGCCATCAGACATGATAGCGAATAAGGGTGGATTGTGGGGAAAGGCTGGTGAGCACACAGGAATTCTGAGTCCTGTTTCTACCTTACTTGTATATTTGTGTATTGAGAAGTTTCAGTTCCTGGAGGGGCCAAGCATCCACACACCCACACTTCCTAGTAGTTCAGGTAGGAGCGGCCCCAGCTTGTCTTGCAGAAAAACCTTTATTCCATTAAGTGTTTGGATGTAGTGAAAAGCTCATCCTTTCTAAAAGGATGTTGCATCAGTGACAAGGACTACTCCGACAACACCTGTGAACTGATGGCAACATTAAATAGAAAAATGATGTCACCATAGATGCCAATATAGACAAGTGACATCAAATATCTGTTGAACTATTTTGATGCAATCTGAGGTAAAAGAGGGATAAATGCTGAAACACTTGGAAGAAATAATTTTGCTCTCTTAATGGGAAAACAATAGCATACACACTTAATTTTTACTATGCTTCAGTCACTAAGAATCCCACATGTATTAACTTATTTAATTCTCATAAATTCATTTGATATATATTTATATGTATATAAAACTGTATATATATCAATTGATTACATATATATAATATCTCACTATAATTCGATTAAGGAAAGCAACAATTTATCAAGACAAATGTAATATTCCCTGAAGCTCGAATAGGAATTTGAAGCAGAAATTGATATGTATTTTGAAATAATAGAAACTGAATATAGCTATTTTGTAGATAAGTTTGTGCATAAGCTGTGGACATGACAAACATGCATACATGTGTGTGAAAACCTCATTAGGACTTCACTGATTCTCTAGGCTGGTGTGGCTTTGGTAGCACCTCCTCAGTTTTTTGTTTACCATGCCTGCTTTTCACATCCATGAGTCAAGTTGATTTTCAGCTTCCATCCATGATTTTCAATTGCCAAACCAACTCAGAAGATACTTTGAAGGTCCAAACTTCTCTGTTTGATGAGCAATGCTCTATTTTGTTTGCAGCTCTGCTCAGAAGCAGAGAAAGGAAGATGATTATAACCTGCACCACCACACAAGCATGCATGCACAAACTCAAATCAGTAAAAGAAAAAAAAAATAAAACAGGAAGATATAACTGTTTTTTCCTATATAGGATTGCAGACATAAAATTTTAAAAGGACCTAGGAAAATAAGAAATTCCTTTTATCTTTTTGTACTCTTCATGGGTCAAAGATCATATATCTAAAACAAAGAAGTCCAGAGAAACAATGGGAATAATTTATTTTTATAATAATTCAATCATATATCCATTTTTCCATGCAGAAATTATGATGTTTTCGATTTCATAAAATGTTTAGATGACATTTTTTTATATAAATAATTCAGAGGAAAGGAAAACACTTAAAAGTAGAATGTACCCTGCTTTTGTTCTTAGGGGTTGGGAGGTAATCGAACATAGAATAAACAGTTTTAGTGTGTTTCTATAATGTCATTCTTTAATAGCATTTTATGTAAGTAACACTCAAGCATGGCAACATAATAGCCCTGAGAAATACACAATTCAAACTGAGTGGAAAGTATTATTTTATGAGGTGAATAGACAAACACATTAGGCAGTGGAGTGAGGATGGCATTTTTCTTTTCTTATCTCAGAGCTAGTTCTTCCAATTCTCAATACCTGTGCACTATGAAAGGAACCTTGTGATGAAACCATAAAAACTGAAATATAGACCCAAGGCCTCTTAGGAAAAACAATTTATTGGCCATAAAATTCACCAAATAGCACATACATGGAATTTGTGGCAATTGGTTTTTGATTTTTGCAGAGGGGACTGCATTCTTATAAAAAAGGGTTATTGGATAAAAAGATGATAGGATAAATTATGAAAAAAAAAGTAAAAAATTATTTTCCACAACAGTCTTCCACAGTTTTGTCATCACACACAGAATTCCACAAAATTCTCAGTGCCTCTTGTTAAGTGAGCATTTTTACTTAGTTGGTCTGCTTATTTCCTTGTCTGGACTAAAGATTTTTACAGGCTTGACTCTGCTTCCAAACAAAGCTACAGTGTCTCTTGACTTTAGATAGAAGGGTATATATAGGAAACTGTCATCTTTTTCTTAAAACTTTTTTACTTAGGTAGGAATTATAAAGCTCCAGAAATGAACTGAAATTAATGGAAGGAATACATTGACATTATTTCAAATTAAGGTTAAACTGAGATACAAACAAGGAAGATACTAAGGAAAAAAATGTGGAAATTAGGGAGTAGTACAGAATCGCCAGGTTGAAAGATTTGTTGGGGTAACTTAATTTTTATTGTTTCTTCTTTCTCCACTTCCACTACTGCAGATTGCAAATCCAGAAATAGAAGAAATCTCAAAATCTAAGTTTTGACAGGCAAATGCTTTATTCAATATCCAATTAAATATTAATATACTAACTACATTTAGCTTATTTTCTTACATGGGGTGAACATTCACTGTAATGACAGTTTCATCATGCTAACATCTATTCACAAACCTACACTTAGAAAAAAAGTGCTTTTCTAGGAAATGTTATATACAAAACAAATGGAAAACATATTAAGCCTTCGAATTGTCAAACTACAGAAAATGAAACCAACCAACCACCAACATTCAGTATATTTTAACAATAGTTTTAAGAAAGAAAATTTTCTTTACATTTGGCAGTTCTGTTCAAGAAGCATTTCTATAATTTTAAAAGTAATTATAGCCTATACAATTTAATAATGTTCAAAGTAAAAGGTATTAAAGAGCACAAATAATATTACCAAACCAAACACCCTTATCATTTATCAGTTTGGGTGTACATGAAGCAAGGGGTCCTCTGTAGGTTCCCCTATTTTCTGACTCTGAAACAACTGCACTTTCAACTCTGTATACAGAAGAGCTTGACTAAATATAGAAGATGGTTTTGGCTTTGCACACATTTCTATTTGTGCACATAGAGGAGAAGTAAACAAGTTTATTTAGACCCTTTAAGCAGGCAAATTATTTGTATAATAAGTTGCTTTAGAGAATACTTCAGAATCATACACATTTGTAATAATAGTATTTAATTAATAGCTCTTTTTAAAAAATGAATAATATTATTGCCAGGTTTAATAGCTATTTTTGCCCATTGAGGCCTTCTCTTATAATGTCACAGTTTACTACCACTTAGATAATTAATCACATTCTTAGATTCTGATTATCAGACACATTCATTTTGACAATGGCTTTTTGTTCTTGAAGCTTTGTATTGCAGTGCTTAAAAAGGTGACCTATTTACCTTGATTACCTTCTTCATGGATAGTTTTAACTACAAATAAAAATTTTGTGATAAATTTTGATTAGGTATATCATGTGATTTCTGTTTGTACCTGGAAACATAAAAATATCTTAAATGATAAATGAAATAAAAGAGCAAAATTTGTGACTTTAAAAGAAATATGAAAGTAGGAAGATACATTCGTATTATTTCATCTTGTTATTTGGAGTAAAAAACTCAATAAATTACTGAGTTTTAAACTATTTAAACAATTTAAAACTATTAAATTATTCTAATAATATAATTCAAACATACAACTAGAAGATAATTATTTTATTCATCACAAAACTTCCCACGTTTGTATTTACATACTAATGAACATAATACACAAACACCCTTTTACAAGAAAGTATGTCTGTTTTTATTCAGACCAGATTTTTTTCATTTCTCCACAAAATGAACACCTCCTCAGAACACACAAAAGATCATTAAAAATAAGCTGGTGACTTAATAATCCAGATGATATCTGAGATTGGTAAATAACAAAAATATGTGAAATCATGAAATTAATTCATGATTATTAAATCAATTATTAAAGTTAAAAACTAGTCACATTTTCATAAACTTTTGTTAATAAAATTGCATTTTCTACTTTGTTTTTCTTGTTATTTCACTGTGATGGTTTCATCACTCATGTACATAAGGGGTGATATTTGAAAACTTTTTCTTCTTATATTGTTTAATTTGTCACAAAGACTGAAATACTAGAACAAACTCAGTAATTGATTAAACAGTATTAGATTATAGTCTCTGAGTCTAGAATAACTCCAATGACTTCCAAAAAAGTGCTTTTGTTTGGAAGATGAAAACATAGGAATATAAACTTAAATGCTTCACTGACATAACTCCAATTGAAGACATTTATAATGAGGGTCATTCATTTTATCTTCCTGATACAAGGGAACAAAGATCAATGACAGATCTCCACAACTGACAATTTTTACAAAATTAAAAGTAACCAACAACATATTTAACTCAAAGCATATAAACTTGTCGTTTTCTCCTTATGAACCCCCTTTTTTAATATAACTTAGATGTTCTCTTCCTTGTCTTTTTTCTATTCCACATACTTTGACAGCTACTCTGTCACATGCATTTATACAACTTCAACCATGTAAAAGTTGTAAACTTGGTAATTGTTTTCATATATTAAATCAGTGACAACTAGAAATCCTAAAAGAAAGGAAGGTTACAGGTTTATGGCCCTTGTTCAATTAAGGGATGATGTAAAAATTCTAGTTTTATAACCACCATATTGATTTGAAGAAAAGGTAAATAAAGACATAAATAAAATCTAGGTTAATTTAAATATTTATATGCACCATGAGGCCCATGACATGTCTAGTGCTAGTCGATATCATACAAGAAAATGCATGCTCATTTCAGTTCATGTAACATTCACTTTAGGAGTGTGTAATTGCCTTTCTCAGGAATTTCCCATGGATAAGAACAAGATTGTTCAAAATCTGATCACTGAAGACAGATGGATCATTGATGACTATGGGAAGCATAAGTCCCCCATGTAAGAAAACATTAGTACTCTGGCAACTGATTCCTCCTGTTTCTACTTTTCCGGCTATTGATGAGAGCCTTTAACTTGCCATAGTCCCCTCTCATCTTTTGAGATTCTTCTCCATGTTGATGTTGCTGCCGAGTGTCTTTGCAATACTGGTTAATCATCTGCATTTCTGAGTTGCTGAATGCCCCCATGATGTCCTTTGGGTGGAAGGGCAAAGCCCTTACAGAGCTGGCCCAGGTCCATGGTGACCATTTGTCTGTTACAACAGCTACCATTTCGGAATCTAAAACTTTAAAATTGATCTTGGCTATGGTCTGCTTGAAGCTGTTTTCTGTTGCAATGCAGTGGTACAGTCCTTGGTCAGAATCCTGAATGGAACGGATTAGAAGTCCTTGTGAAGTGACTATGATGCGTTCATTCAGCTTGACCTAAAAGAGAGACATCAAAGTTCTGAAAATCCAACCCTGTATCTTCTAAAAACACGACCAACATATACAGAATACTGCTGACTTTCACAAATTTGGCAAAAGTATGGAATAATAACTAACTTCCTCCTTAGTGGACACAGATTTTAGTTAAGTCTCATTGCCTTCTTTTGTACAGGAGATCTTGTCTCATTAAATGAGAGAAGTGAACTGACTCATTAAAGAGAGGGTGAAACCATCAACCCATATTACCAGAAATAGCTTGTGCATTCCTTTTGGATACAAGTGGTTTCTCCACATATAAGCCCAGAATTTTGGTTACTTCAGGAATATGATTCATAGTCAACATATGTAGCAAAAGAAATTGACATATTATTTAAAATTATGTCATCCTGGAGTTCTCAACTTTTATTGTAACAAAAGTACTTATTAGTAAAAATCAATTACATGATTGAATTTTACCTTTTTTAGAGAATGAATAAATATTCTCCTAACTAAAAATTATATAAGCAGTTTTGAACATTATTTAGGACTTTTTTCCAATTATCTCACATTAAAGAGTCACTATAAATATGCTAGAATGCCATTGTCTTGTAAGACTTCTAAGTGGTCGTAGTTTTCAAGGAAAAATAATAGAAAACTATAAGGCTAACATGCAATTATGTTATAATCTTATAATGAGAAAAAGCTATCATTTGCTAGATATCAGACAAATGCTAGAAATCCATCCTCCTAACATTTCCAGCTACAGTACTGTCAATGAACAAATTAAAAACCCAAGTGCTAAAAATTTTCTTAACACGTATACTCAGGAATATACTTCCACTGAGGAAAAAAGAAATCTGACCCAAAATAATATAAAGGAATGAATGTGAAATGTTTTTTAATGATACATTTCTGTGTAAATGTTTATTTTATTGCTAATGGAATCCAAATCAAGGAAAGGCTCTTGTAGATAAAAAAAGTTATGCACACACAACAGAACAAAAAGAAAAGTATAGTACTGATGTACAGACAATAGAATAGAGCTGAAACAGAGCAGGAAGTAAAGGCTAAAATACACAAAGGAAAATTTTGATGTTAATTTAATTTTGAAAGTTTAAATGTACATTAGATATAGTTTAAGTGATGCAGAAATACTTTCAGAAATGAAAGAAAAGAAAGCCTTTCTTTTTTGTGCAAAATTGGTGAAAATTTTGGAGGTCAAGTTGATAATATCCCATATAGCATGTATATAAGAAAGATCTGATCTAGTGAAAATATTTTTTCCTCGAATTTGTTTAGAAGATATACTCTTACAAGTATGCAGATATTTATTTGCATAATGTTTTCAGTAAGAGTAAAAACAAGAAAAACCCTAACCAAATGATAGTTTTAAAAAAATGTAAGGTACATTTATAAAATGGAATACTATGCAACCAAGAAAAATGGGTGTAGCTCCACATATGCTGATATTAAATTGTGTGCAGGAGCATATAAAAAATTATGGAGAATATTTGGAGAAATATATAATAATTTAATATATCATTTTGGTAGCCTTATACTCTGGGAGGTGGGAAAATGTATTAAAGTGAAGGGGAGGAGGGCTTTTATTTTTTACTTTATTCTATTCTGCAAAACTATTTGCATTTTTCTCTACTAGTTTTTACCACTTAGTTTTTTAAAAAAGTTCAATATTTATATATCACTAATGTGAGAAATAGTGTATATTTGCCTAATAAGAAAAAATTAGGATAAAATAACTAAAATATTAATAGTACATTCAACTAAAGTAAGAATGAGTGGACTTGTGCTCTGCCTAAATTCAGTACACAATAGATTTTTATAATTATATTACAGTCATTTTTTCATAATCTTAAATTATATCTTTCTTATATTTTTGATTGAAAATAATCAAGAGAATAATTAATATTTAAGTCACCACATTCTTGAGCATTGTGAAATAGAACATTAGAATTATCACAAGAGATTTAATTCATAACATTCCATTTTGAATTTCATTTATTAATTTCTGTAGCTACATATGTATTCAAGGCTATATATATTAATTTACTTTAATTTTAAATAATAAAAATTATAATCACTTATTGTATATTATTCTACTGAACTTTCTGCTGAATAATGGTAAACATTTTATTCTTGTTAAATAATTACTGTTTGAATTTTAGATTTCTTATTAACATACATATATACAGACTTTCCCAAAAAGAATGTTTCCTATCCATCCTCAATGATAATCATCATCACATATTATAACTTCTATCCCAATTACTTTGTAAAACAGTTATTATAATCCACATCCATTCAAAATAGTTTAAAAGTAATTAGACTGTAGAAATCTCAAGACTTCTTTATGATAGATATTATAGCAAAGAAAATAGATATCAAATAAACAATATTTTATTAATAAAAATTTTTAAAAGTTTTTTGTATCATCGATACACTGATTTAGTTCTGGAGCAAGAAGGGGCCTTGAAGTATATCTAGTTTATCTTTTCTCCAGATACATAAGTCCCTTCCTTTGCCAATGGTGATCAGTCTGTGTCTTAATATCTAGTGACAGAGTACACACAATTTCCTAAACAGATCTTTAACATCTTGGATAGGCAGGTCCAAGAGTTAATATTTTCTCATAGGAACCAACATTTCTTTTAAAATTCTTATGCAGCATCTACATTCTATATAGCCTGGGATGTATCCATTCTACACAGCCCTGATTAATGTAATGTGTGGTACCAACACTGCCCACACAGAACACACATAAATGCAGAAGGCTCCATTTTCCCCTATGCTGCATCGGACTTTATGGTGTACTGATAACAACATTACATTTTAGACTACTCTAAGGTTTTCTAGATACATATATTGACCATGACAACATAACATCAATATTATGAAATTCATTATTCATTATTTGGAATATTTCACCCTATGCCATTTTATAATGTTTTCCTTTTAAAACAGCTTTTTTTTCAATTAGTGAAGGGTTAATGTAAGTGTTCTGTCATAACTCTAGTTTTTTTCCAAAATCACTAAATAAAGGCAATGGTCCCATAGACAATAATTCCATGTATTATTTAGACAAAACCTGAGAGTTATGAATAATAAAGCAGTGAGAACAAATTGCCACACAGCAGAGAAATGCTCTTTACCATAAAGGTTATAGTTTCAGGTAATTTCTTGCTGAGGAAAATTGAACTTTTTTTTAAAGCCCCGTTCATCTTGTAAATCACACAAAGGTGCTGTTGTGTGAGAACTTGGCTCCTGGGTTTGCACACATCTTGTTTCTTTTACAAGTGCTTCCTCACATCAATCCCCCCACCCTGTCTGTGAGCCCAAGCTCTTGTTTCAATCACCGTGTTATAGAGGTGAGCAGGCAGAGAGGATTTCTAATTAATCCATCAACTCTGCAGACAAAGGGTTTTACAGAAGGTGGCACTTGTCATCCCAAAGACATAAAAAGATGTTCATATGCTTTTCCTTTTTCCTTTGATCTGAACCTCACTGAGGGATGGTGTTTTAATGCTCTTTCCAAAGCCTGATTGATTGCTGCCTTGCTTCGTTACCCACCTCTTTTCTCCTGTCTTTGTCCTTCTGTAACAACCACTTGACAGATGCCTGCGGAGACTTGGGGGCACACTCAAGGAAAGTGGTGTTATTTTTTACTCCATACTGAACAACTTCAGCTGCATTTCTATATGCTAGAAACCAAAAACAAATGGAGAGGAATAATGAAATTTAGAACATATTTGCCTTTTTGAATATCTATTTCTTCATCAATTATGACAGCCCCTGAAAAGCAGTCTCAATCATTTAACAAGCAGACTATTACACATGGATTACCTGTTTTGTTTAGTCTAAAGAGAAGGAGAGAAATCAATATTTATTCAAGAATTACTCTATACCAAATAGTAGAGGTGCAATAGTAACAGGAACACACTTAATATCACTTTGAACATTTAATTATTACAACATCCTTGTGACTTCGGTTCTTCCGGCTTTTCATAGCTGAGCAAGCTGAGCCTGTAAGTTATGAGGAAAACATTTCCTATTAAGGAGTTAGTAAGTACCAGGCAATACTGAAGCCAGGTTCATCTCACCCCTAAACTCCATACTGAGTGTAGTATAGGTAAAATCCAGAAATATCAGAAAAAGGCAGACAGCAAGATGTAGCCACAGTGGGATGCAGTGGTTGAGAATACAGGCTTGGGACTCAGAGGTGCCTGAGGTAAAATCCTGACTTCACTGCTACTGGCTGTGTAACCTTAGACAAATTACTTGATCTCTATGTGTCTCATTTTGAGTTACCTCTAAAACACAGATTATCACAATTTCATACAGGTTCTTTACTGAAACTCTTAAATTAGGAAAAGCACTGAGTCTAATTATGTGGTAGCTTAGACATTGACAGAATGCTCATTTACAAAGCAGGAATAGAAATATTGTAGACTCTACTTGAGAACTGTTTCTTGAACATTGAGGTAATCCATAAAAAAAACATTTAGCTCAGGTTCTGACACAAAATCAACATCAGGGTTTGTTCATTACCTCCACTGCCAATACTCCTACCACTGTGGCTACCGTGATTGCTAAGGAGAATGGACACAAGATTTATAAAATAGTAAGTAGAGAAAAGGTAAACTGAATGTATTCCCTAAGTTAGATTTATGGAACAATTAAGCAAAATGCATCTTAATTTTCTCCTTCTAGTTGGTATAGTTAGTAACAAGAAAGTCATTCTTGACTAAACACCCAGACTCAAAAAGATTAGCTATCGATGTCTCGGTATTAACTGTTAACAACAGCACACATCTGTAGCACCTTAGTGAACCAGGAGGGAGTTCTGCCTGAAGATGTTTCTGCTGGTTGGGCTGATGTGGGGGGGTTAGGTGGGGAGAGGGGATTAGTGGGAAAAGTATAACAACATGATACCTCTATGTCAGGATGGGAAAAAGAGGATTAGATTAATTGTAAGACACAAGGCAAGATTGTCAGAAGTATATGGAATGATTATAAATGGTGAAAATCAGAGCACTATAGGACACCAATGTATGGAGCAGGATTATTCACAATAACCAACAGATGGAAGCAACCCAAATGTCCGGTGATGATGAATGGGTTAAAAAATGATTTGTACATACAATGGAATATTTCTCTGCCTTAAACAGGAAAGAAATTCTGACATGCCACAATGTGAATGGACTCTGGGGAAGAAAGACATTATGCTAAGTGAAATAAGCCAGTTACAAAATAATGAATATTATGATTTTTACAATTCTTAGTATACATACAAATAGCAATTAATATTGAATATCAATAATTTTTATAGCAAATTTTTCTTTAAAATGAAACACTGGAATCTACTGCAAAGTTTCCCTAACTGAAATGTGATATGGAGCATTGCTACTCTACCAAGTTTGACCATGGCTCTCTTTTACTACCTTTTAGATTAAATCCTCTGCATTGAGTCAATGGATTGCCATGTCTCACATCTTGTCTTCGGCTCCTCCTGTTAAGTGCAGAGATATATAAAATAGCATTAACATTGCCAGTTATACCACATTTAGAAGACAGCATTTTTCACTTTAAAATCTGGAGATTGCCTAAGCTTTCATAAAGAAAAGAGGTCTGATTAGCTGATATTTCTTGTTCAATGCTTTAATTATATTTTGGCTACTTAACTTTGCTTTTAATCTAAACTAATTCAGTCTCTCCCCATCTACTACTTGTGAAACAATGGCTATGAACCTCCTATTATGTGCATTTTCTGGGTAAATGTTACAGCCCACATTAATAGTGTAATTTTTAACATATACATATTCATTCAAAGTTTTCTAAGATGATCACCTTCAAGTATAAAGTCACTGCCATCTTCCTTCTTATATTTTTTTCTTAGTTAAGCATATTTTTCTTTTAAAAGTTAATACTTTCTAACAATTTCCAGAAATATTAAAACATTCCAAAAATAAATTATACAGATAGAATATGCATATTTAATATTATATAAATTTAAGCAAAATTGTTCATTTACATTTTCTTTCAACTCATTATTTTGAAAATCATTGAGTCCAAGGAAAAGTGGGTATATGAGTGCAATCAATACTGGTGTACCTAAACTCATGGATTGTTGTATTTTGCCATATTTATTTAGTCTCCTCTCATATGCTAGTATATGTCACATATGCATTGTGAATATACATATAAATGAAAATCTTTACAAAAGAAGTTGCAGACATGATTTTACCCTTACATGATTTAGTATGCATCTTCTAAGAACACATAATTTTCCTACATATCATTATGACCCTAAAGATATTAATATTTATTCTGCAATATCATTTTTATTTATTTATTTATTTATTTAATTGTTGTTCAAGTACAGTTGTCTCCATTTTCCTCTACCTCTCCCCCTTGCCCCACCCAACCCACCTTGCACCCTTGGTCATACACCCTTTTGGCTTCGTCCATGGGTCCATGACATCATATAATACACATTTTATATTAAAATGTACCTAGTTGTCCTCAAAATATCTCTTATAAATTTTTAAAAGTTTATTCAGAAACTATTAAGTTTCACTCATTGCATTTAGTTGTATGTATGACTAGCTTAAGCATTTCAAAAATGTAGCTGCATTCCTTGTAAGTTGGTCATTACTTAAATAAAAGTTTTAAATTATTTGCAAACCAATTATTTAATTTCCTGAGTCTTAGTATTAGCTACATCTATTAGTTTCCATTGTATTACATAGTTCAACAAATCAAGATAGAGTAACTGACATTCTCGTAGGAACAATTTGTGGATATGAACATTGCTATAAGAGACTAGGAAGGGAACTCTCTTTAAATATTGGGAGTACAGGTACAAATTGACCATTTACTATCGACACTGAGAAGCATATATGAAGGAGCATATAACCTAAGTGGGTTAGTTGTTAAGTCTCTCATAATATTTTTATACTTGAAGATAAGTTAAAATATTCAGTAAGACCAGACACATTAAAATCACACAGGGATTATCAAATTTATAAAGCAAAACTAATCTCAAAGTCATTGATAATAAAAAAATTCACTTTAAGGTTAGAGCAAGTTGTTAATTGTTTATGTACTCAATGGGTTATACAATTCTATCTATGGAAATATGGGTATAAAATTTTGTATAATTTAACTAGGCTTTTGCCAAAAAAGTGACATGATCTTTATTCAATTTTATATTTCTATACAACCATGCAAAAAACAAACCAGTACAAGTCACTCTTATCTCAGAAAAGATGATTATTGCTGAATTCTAGAATAGCTTGTATATCAGTTTTTACTGAATTGCATTTCCTACATGAGGTCTGTCTGGAAAAAGTCCAGCCATTGTTAATATAAAGAGAATGATTTGCATGACATGGATGTAACCTGGCAGCCAAGGAGAATGGACTGGAATGTGCATGCATGAACAATGATGACTTCACTGTACTAGTCTGTGGGAGCAGTAGATATCATGTATACTGTGTGGCTGTGTATTCAAAATGACTGAGCAAGAAGGGGAACTATTCTACAGCAAATTTTTCATTAAGCTTTGAACATTCCTCAGAACTATTTGGATGATTCAGAAGGCCACAGCTATGGGAAACTGGTGATTGGCAGCTTCATCACGACACTGTGCCTACCCATACATCACATCTCATGCAAAGTTTTCTGTGAAACATCAAATAACCCAGGTGACTTAGCCTCCTAAGTGCAGACTTGGTGTCCTGTGACTTCTGGCTTTTCCCCAAACTAAAATCACCTTTGAAAGGGAAGAGATTTCAGACCATTGATAAAATTTCAGGAAAAAAAGGCAGGGTAGCTGATGGTGATTGGGAGAACTGTATGGGTTACCAAGGTGCCTACTTTGAAAGGGATTGAGGTATCCTTGTCCTACGTAAAATATTTCTTATATCCTGTATCTTCTTCAATAAATGTGTCTAGTTTTTATACTATATGGCTAGAAACTTCTGGACAGACCTCATCTATTTAAGTCACAGCATTATTTACAATCAGCCAGCTAAGTGGATGTATATTATATGAGCACTGTGTGAGACTTCTTATGGCTGAATGAACCATTTTCAGCCATCAAGACAAGCAGTACCACTCATATGGTTAAATTTATTTTCCTGTGATAAGCACTATGTTTTGATTTACTCATGTATATGAATCTGAAAGCTGCATAATCTACATTTACAGTATCACATAGCCTTCAGACATTAAAATACAAAAAGAAAAAAACCCATTATTATGACTTGGTTTAAATCATGAGATCACCAAGGCTGTCATCTGAGCCTTTTGTATGTATAGATTCCCTGTAAGGCATTCATACAGCATCACAAAAGCATGCTGGTAGACAGAATAATGCAGTATTATATTGCATGCAGGATTTGGGATTTGTCTCAAGCTGCCAATGTTTCCTTCATTATAGTCTATTCCTTTGGCTAAACAATGAAATCATTTTCTTCTTGTATAGAAAACAGATATTTACGTGAAGACTGAACTGATTATCCTGTCTTAAAATATAATTTCTAACTACATATCTGAATCCAGAATAAATAACACTTGAGTCTAAACTGCAATAGTTGATACAAATGCCAAAATATTTAAGATACTTGTGGGTAAAGAGGAAAATGCTTACATTGTTTACTAATAATTTCTTTTAAAAAAGAGAAACTACTGAGCCAATATATAATATATATATATATATATATATAACCACTCTATGTCAAAGTATGGACTCCACTGATAGTTTAGTAAAACTATGTCTCTTCTTTCCATACAAAGGATCTGTTTTTATTTCACATGAATTCCTCTATGTGCTATTGTTCCAGATAGACAGTACAACTGGAATAGCACCAGGCAAGTTAACACAGCTAACGAAAATAAGTGGAACTTCTGCAGATGAACACCTTTTATCATTGTTATTTAATCTCTAAAGAAAATAAATACTAAATATGTGAGAACTCAGTAAATAGTCAATTCATTCAGCAAACATGCTTTGCTTTCACTAAGACTGGAAATAATTTGGAGAATTTAAATAGTATAGATATTTTTAATGAAACTTCCAGTAAGCAAGCCAAAGATGATATGGATGGGAAGACCAAGGAATATCATGTATGTTTTATTTTTGGCCCTTTGTCATATAATTAGAAAACTCCTAGAGATCACCAAGATAGCTCTTTAAATGGCTACTACTTTCTAACCCACGACACATATATTTTTTGCTTGTACTGTTTTACTGAGGTAAAACTGAGATATACGTTTCAGGTGGACAACATAATTTTTCAAAATATATATATATTAAAAAGTGATCAATCAAGATAAGCCTCATTAGGGTTTGTCACCACACATATTGCAACTTTTTTCTTGTGATGACGAATTTTAAGATTTATTCTGTTAGCAACTTTCAAATGTGCAATTCAGTATTGCATACTAGGTTTACCATGCCATGCATTTCTTAACTATGGTCACCATGCTGTGAATTTCATCCTCATAAGTTAATCATTTTATAACTGGAAGTTTGTACCTTTTGATACACTTTGCCCAGTTCTCCCACTCTCCAACCCTTACCTCTGGAAACCATGAATCTATTATCTCTATCTTTGAGCTTGGTTTGTTGTTATTGTTTTTAAAATCCCACATATAAGTGAGATAACATGCTATTTGTCTTACTCTGTCTGATATATTTCATTTATCATAATGCCCTCAAGGTCCATCTTTATTTTCACAAATGTCAAGATCTCACTCTTTCTTATGGCTGAATAGTATTCCATCCTGTATATATTTTAATATACAAAATCAACATTGTAAAAATCCTGCAATAAACACTAGGGTGCATATATCTTTTTTGAATTAGTGTTTTTGTTTTATTTGGTAAAATACTCAGAAGTGGAATTGCTGATCATATAGCCATTCTCTTTTTTTGAGGAAACTCTGTACTGTTCTCCATAGTGGATGTACTAATTTGCAGTCTCACCAACAGTGCACAAAGGTTCCCTTTCTTTCCACATCCTTGTTAACATTTGCTGTTTCTTATCTTTTTGATAATAGCAATTCTGCCAGGTGTTATCTCATTGTGGTTTTGATCTGAATTTTCTTGATGATTAGTGATTGAGGTTGGGCATCTTTTCATGTGCCCGTTGGCCACCTGTTCTTCCTCAGAAAAATGTCTATTTGGATCTTCTGCTTATTATTTAATTGAATTGTATATAGTCTTTTTTTGCTATTGACTTGTATGAGATTTTTATGTATTTGAATATTAATCCCTTGTCAGATATATTATGATTTGCAAATATTTTCTCCCATTCAGGAGGATGCCCTTTAACTGTGTTGATGACTTTTCTTTTCTTTTTTTCTGTGAAGAAGCTTTATAGTTTGATGTAAAACTAATTGCTTATTTTTGTTTTTGTTGATTTGTTTTGAAGTAAGATACAAAACCCCCCTCATTTCCAAGACTAATATCTTATTGTTCTATGTTTTCTTCTAGGAGTTTTATAGTTTCAGGCCTTCCACTCAAGTGTTTAATTTATTTTGAGTTAATTTTTGTGTTTGTGTAAGACAGTGGTCCAGATTTATTTATTTTTTTGTATTTGGCTGTCCAATTTTCTTAACACCATTTATTGAAAAGACTGTCCTTTCCACATAGTATATTCTTGGCTCTTTAATCATAAATTAATTTACCATATACATGTGGGTTTATTCCTGGGGTCTCTATTTTGTTCCACTTATTTATGTGTCTGTTCTAAGCCAGTACAATACTGCTTTGATTACTACAGCTTTGTAATATAGTTTGAAATCAGGAAACATGATGCTTCCAATTTTGTTCTTCTTTCTCTAGATTGTTTTGGCTATTTGGAGTCATTTGTGGTTCCATACAAATTTTAGGGATAGATCGTTCTATTTCTACAAAAAATGCCATTGGAATTTTGAGAAGGATTGCACTGAATCTGTAGACTGCTTTAGGTACTATGGACATTCTTACAACACTAATTTTCTAATCTATGACCAGAAAGTATATTTATTTATTTGTGTCACCTCAGTTACTTTCATCATTGTTTTATATTTTTCAATGTACAGGTCTATCACCTTGATTAATTTATTGCTAAGTATTTTACTCTTTTTGATATAATTGTAATGAAATTATTTTCTTAGTTTCTCTTTCTGATAATTTGTTATCAGTGTATAGAAATGTGACAGATTTTTATGTGATAACTTTGTATCTTGAAACTTTATTAAATTCATTTATTAGTTCTAACAGCAAACCCATGATACAGGGTTCAATACCAGGCACCATACTGTAACATTAAGAACTGCAAGATAGTTTCAGTTTTTTAATTATTGTAAGAATATGATTAAGATCATGATTTCTGACACTAGAATGACAATGTGGAATATATGTTTATGTATACATCTTGAAAAGAATAACTGGGGTTATAATAGGTGAGAGAATATGAGAACGAATGAGAAAACTCATATTTTAACACAAACTTATGAAGCACATCTCATGTGCAATGATAGTCTACATATAGTATAGAATTTTATTTGAGGACTAGTCCTTGTTTTTTAAATAAGAATGCTGGCTGGTCAAAGCCAAGGTCTGAAAACTTTACAGGGAAGGGTGCTAATCTCCAATTCTTTTATATAAAAGGCTGGTATGCCTATAGGACTATGGCAAGTTTCACTTCATAGTTCCCTCATTTCTTAGAAACTATAGGGCTTCAGCTTTGTTTAAAGCACTAAATCTGTTTAATAGATTGAAAACCATATTTCAGATTTTACAGATGCCAGCTTTTAGAATGGTTTACCAAGAAAAATCTATTGCCTTATAAACAGTTATGGAAGTAAGTTTGAAATATCACTGCTGTCACAATTGGGGTAAAAATATGATTGAATGAGAAAGAATAAAGGTAGAGGAATCATGCTATCTAATATCAAATTATACCATAAGGCCATCGTAGTCAAAACAGCATGGTACTGGCATAAAAACACTTATAAATTAGTGAAACAGAATAGAGAGCCCAGAAATAAACACATGCCCTTACAGTCAATAAATATTTAACAAAACAGGCAAAAACATACATTGGGCTAAAAATAGTTTATTCAATCAATGGTCTTGGGAAAATTGGACATATACATAAAGAAAAGTGAAACTAGAGCAATTTCTTAATTCAGACACAAGAATAAATTCAAAATGGATTAAAAACTTTAATGTTAGACAAGAAACTATAAAAATCCTAGAAGAAAACATAGGCAGTAAAATCTTGGACATTGTTTTTAGCAACATTTTTTCTGATATATCTCCTCAGGCAAGGGAAATACAAGAAAAAAATAAACAAATAGGATACATCAAACTAAAAAGTTTTTGCACACCAAAGGAAACCCATCAACAGAAGACAAACCACTAAATGGCAGAACATATTTGCCAATAAGGGGTTAATATCTAAAATTGATAAAGTCCTTAAAAATTCAACACCAAAACAATAACAATAAACAATCTAATTAAAAATTGGGCAAAGGCCCTAAATAGACATTTCTTCAAAGAGGACATACAGATGGCCAATAGACATGAAAGATGCTCAATGTCACTAAGCATCAGAGAAATGCAAATTAAAGCTACAATGAAATATCACCTCATACCTGACAGAATGGTTATGATCAATAAATCAGTAAACAATAAATGTTGAAGAGGATGTGGAGAAATGGGAACCCCCGTGCACTGTTGGTGGGAATGCAGACTAGTGCAGCCGTTGTAGAAAACAGTGTGAAGTTAAGTCAAAAAATTAAAAATGGAACTGTCTTATGACTCAGTGGTTCCACTTCTGGAATTTATCTGAAGAAACCTGAAATACTAATTCAGGAGAATATATACACCCCTAACTTCATTGCAGTGTTATTTACAATTGCCAAGATTTTGAATCAGCTAAGTGTCCATTAGTAGATGAGCAGGTAAAATGGCTATGGTACATTTACACAATGGAATACTACTTGGCTGTAAAATAGAAGAAAAGTGTACCCTTTTTGACAGCATGAATGGACCTGGAGAATATTATGCTAAATGAAACAAGCCAGTCGGAGAAAGGCAAGTACCATAAAATTTCATTCATATGTGGAATCAAATGAACAAACTGAACTAACATGTGAAATAGAGACAAACTCATGGATAGAGAGCAAGCTGACAGCTCTTGGAAGGGTGTTTGGCAGGGTGGGTGGATGGAGCATAAAGAAAAAGAACTCATGGACAGGAACAACACTGTGGTGATTGTAGGGGAGATGTGAGGTGGGTAGAGGTGGAAGAGGGTATGGGGGGATAACTGATAATGCAAAAAAATATAAAAAATGAAAAAAGAAATTACAAAAACCATTTTAAATTTGACATTACATTTGGAATTTGCTTGCCTCACACTTTTGTCCAGGTTCAGGACTCCAGTACAGTGCAGAGAGAGGGTCCCAGGGTAATAAATTGTATGTAAAAAATCAAAAGAAGCCATAGACCTTGTGACTAAATCTTAAAATGACTTGGAAGAACATGGGTCATTGAACACAGATCCTACAGACTCCTGGTTTAGGAATGGGAGTTCTCTTTATATCTTAAATGACTTTGAATACAAAAGACTTTCAAATTACCTAGCCCAGGCCACTCCTCTCTTCTCCAGATTCATATTTCTAACTGCTTAACCAACATGTCTATTTGAACATCTCATAGGCACCTTTAACTTTCCGCCTTCAAACTTACTCTTTCCACAGTCTTTTCTTTCTCATTAAATTCCATCTACATATTTCCAATGGTCTGTTCTGAGAACTTGGTTCATTTTTGAGGCCTCTCTTTCTCTAACATTGCACATTTAATACATCAGCAGTTCCTGTGAGCCCTATCCAGAATCAGACCATTTTGGCCATCTCCACCTCTATCATCCCCGTGCAAGTCACCACTGTATCTCACCTGGATCATTAGAGTAGCCTGTTCTGAAGCTTCTCTCTCCCCTCCCCCATCCTCTTCCTACCTCAGGGTGACAGTCCCTGACAAACTCAACTAGATGATCTTACTAAATTGAAGTCAAATAATATCACTCACATGTTCAAAAATCTTCTGCAGTTTTCTATTTCAATTTAGCTTTAAGGATTTCTGGTCCCTTCCTTTGGAATGCCAGTCTCCCAAATAATGCCACGGTAGTATTCCTCTTCACATTCAAGTCCTTGTTCAAATACCACATCCTCAGTAAGGCCTCCCCTGCCCACCTATACTTCACATTGCAACCCCCTGCTTCCCACATCCTGTATCTTCCTTCTTTCACTTTTAAAATTCATAGACCTTCTCATTTTTCAATATACTAGAGGTTGTCCTTATTTATATATTGTCTGTCTTTCCTTTTTACTGTCCCACAATGCAAGAATTGTGTTTTTGCTCTTGCTTTTTAGAGTGATAGACCTAGAACATTGTCTGGCAGATGATTGTCCAGTGATACAAATTTCTTGAATAATAGATAAAAGCATCAGAATACTTGTGATATTCACAAGTGTGAGGGTCATTTAAACTTTCAATGTCCTTAAAAGCATGTACCTATGACAGAACTACAATACAACATCACCCCAATGATTTTACTTGAAAGATCACTGGTGCCCGTGGCTGGTCCTATTTGCTTTCTGCTGTTGACACTGACTTTATAGGTTTTGATCCTGTCATCCATCATGAACCATATCAAGGTATGACTGAAATTATCCGTGACCTTGGTGACCCTAAATTCTCCATATTCTTTGTCCTATAGTCAATTTCATTTCTGGTGGTCCCCTTTCTAAATGATGCAGATGGGGCCCGAGTTTCCTGCCTAACTAAGCCTTTACTTGGATAAAAGCCTCTCTGCTTCAGACTGCCTCACTCTCTTCATCTAATCAGCAATCACGCAGTCACCACTCTAAACGGTAAAGAATGGAAGGCAATTCAGAGTACCCATCCTGGGGCAGTGTTTCTTTTGCCCAAATTAACACAAGCATCTGATGACAGGAGAGTTAAGTGGCACAGGGGAACCCTGGGAAGGTGGGATTTCAGGGCATACTCAATCAGGCATATAAAACAAAAATGACTTAAAAATTAGGAAATGTGAAAAAAAAGGTAAATGTTACTTGTGTTGCAGATGTGTTTAAAAGGAAACAAAGTCCAAAGTACTTACACTAGTTAACATATCCCTAAGAATCTCAAGTTATAAAGCACTGGTGCTTTTTTCATTTAAAGACTACGTGCTGTGCTAAACAGAGCTGCTGCTTTTGGTGCTGCTTTTAAAGTGCTCACAATTGAGACATCAATTTTGATTTTCAGCTGAATGTTAGTACTCACCGCTTCCCTGTTGGGTAGAACCTAGAGCAAGAATGGCCATCCCAGGCGCAGTAAGGGTCCCTTGCTAGACAGCAGTCAGCGCAGGCAGTGCCGTAGATGTGGCAGCGATGCAGGGACACTTGGGAAACCCCTTCATTGGAGCTCACATACAACTGTTGCTATTAAAAAAATGACGATGATTTATTTCAGATGTGGAAGTTAAAAAAGGACTTTCAGCAGGAACACATTATAGTATGTGCCCACAAACCCCTGGACTCATTTTGAAAGTAGACTAAAAACGAGAAGCAAAGTCCAGAGGGGTACAAAGCCAAAATAAACAGAATTTTCCTATGTTAATATGCCTATAACATTACCACTTTCCTGCTTAAAGAAAAAAAACTTAGAGCACTGTGTAGAATGGTAATGTGTTTTAGACATTGGGATTCATTGTTCTCTCAGATTTGAGCTAATATATTACAGATTTAAATTACGATGTTTGCTTTTTTCTTTTAATGCTGTCTCTTCACAAAGCACAAGGCAGCTTTCTTATTCTTCAAGTCTGGCAACCCATCACATTGTAAATTTGAAAAAGTGAAGGCTCAAATACAAGACACTTTTAAGTTTAGAAAAAGAAGTAGATAGTAGTATATAAAATTTAAAATTTTTTCACAGGCTTTTGAAAACGACATATTTCTCATCAGAGGAATTTTTAAATTATTTAGAAAAATATTGGTATTTACATTTAGATATGCCTTAAACTTCCTGTATATCCAGAGCTATTCAGCACCCTGCTATTATGCCAGCTATTATGACCCTGGTCAGCTATTATGACCCTTGGTCATAAATAAAGATTTCATCCTCTGTCATTTGTACGGTGTCAGGAGTTTTTTTATGATACTGCTCCAGTTCCTTTAGCTGTGCCTAAAAGGGTTCTCAGGAGTTAAAGGGATATGTTTCTAATTGACACTGAATATTTTACAAAGGACTGATATACAATTCAATTTAGCATAAAATCTCTAAGCTAGAACTTGAATACATGCATATTCACACACATGTGCACATACATCTCTATATATCTAGATATAGATATAGATATATGTGAGTGTTATTTAAAATTAAATCAATGGCAGGCTCTGGAGGAATACTTCTGGGACTCAAATCCAGGCTCAATCATAAAATTGCTGTGTAACTTCTCAATATCAGCTTCCTCTTTGGTAAAACTGGGTAAATAGAGCACCTGTCCTATAGAGCTTTTGTAAGAACTAAATGTAAGGGCTAACTCCACAATGCTTGGAATTGCTTCTGACTCCTAAAACCTCAGTGAATGTTAAATAACAGTAGTAGTAAACCACCAAATTATGAATCTTCAATTCTAATAAATCATTTGAATCACATCCCACTCTATGTCTAACATAAAATAATTATTTTCTCATATCAATTAATCTTTCAGAAGTTGGGCTGAAAAACACTGAGGCCCAGTTGAGACATTTAAACCATAAGAAAGCAGCTACACATTTTGACAATAGTCATTTCTCTCAGAATATCTGAAATAGTGTTTATGGAGTACACTGATTAATGTAGTGAATGGTCCCAGCTGGTGTGGCTCAGTAGATTGAGTGCTGGCCTGCAAACCAAAAGGCTACTGGTTTGATTCCCAGTCAGGGCACATGCCTGGGTTGCCAGCCAGGTCCCCAGTAGGGGGTGCATGAGAGGCAACCACACATTGATGTTTCTCTCCCTCTCCTTCTCTCTCCCTTTCCCTTCTCTAAATATAAATTGAAAAATAATAATATAGTGAATGCATCAGCTTCATTAAAAATTTTTGAGGAAACTGATTTGAGAAAAGGATACAGATAGGTTCACTCTAGAAATTATCTTTTTTATTAATCAAATTATTTTCTGCAATATAGAATACAAGAATAAATTAGAGAATAAAGGAGCATAAATAGACAATAATATAGTTTGAACACTATATAAGGAAAGTACTAAGTTCATGACAATTAAATATACTTAAAAAATACTACTGGTCATTTGTAGTTCTTTCACAATGTAAAAATAATGAAGTATGCAGTTGATGAATGAATTCCCCCCAAATCAGTTAAGTCCCCTGCTCTCTATCTAACTGATTTAATAAAACATTTTTAATTTTCTACAGTTTAAGATGTTGAAGATATTTAATATTCAGTTTTTCTTGTGTGTTGTATATTGAATTTTATGGAATGGATTGTGAACAAGATCACAAGGGGAATTACGAGTTGAAACCTGTAATTGTATATTGAACTGCTACGATGTCACACAAATGGTTTTGTGTTCATTTTGAATTTTGCCGTAACGCTTGCTCTTCCCATTAAACTACTATAAACAAAGGGCTTCCCTGCTGACTTCAAAGACAATTTGAACTAAGGATCACTCTCTAGGATACTAGGGGAAATGACAAATAGCTTCTTGTTACTTGGGAAAATGTTTATTATGCACCATACAAACATTTTTACAAATAGATCTTTAGCTTGGTTGTACCCTCTTTATTTTTCTTCGTAAAAAACATCAAGTGAAAAATAGGACAAGACAGACTGTGGATTAGTTGTTCATGGGGTAGCAGACCAAATATGGTGAAGAACACTGAAGTCATGTCATCAGTTGTGCTCACACATAAAACTTTTATTCTCTATTCCAAGAAAAATAAGTCTTAGGCTCTTACAAACATCAGTTACAAAGACCCACTTTATTTTAGGCAATTTATATAATTTAATTTGTTTGTGAGAAAAGCATTACCTTGCAGAGGCAGAAACTTACTTAGCTCAGTGAACTTAAATGATTCGTTTATAATTTACGGTCAGATTGGGATTCAAATGCATGCCAGCCCTACCCTGAAACCCATTTCATTTTTATTAGGTTACTCTGACTCTTAGAATGCTTGTTTTGGGGTATCTTTGGGGGGATGGAGAGCTGCATACTTTGCACATGTGGAGACTGGAACTGGATTTTCCTTTCTGTGACCCTTGTGTATTTGCATGCACAGGCACAAAGATTAAACATTCCTGATAATCATAGCCTAACATTTCTTCCCCAAATCCTGACTGTGGATACAGCTTAAATTTGAAATATTCAGACTTGTCTTAATGACATGCATAACCCTAAAAGATAGCACTGCCCATTTGAAGCCTATGTTGGCAGCTAGACATCTAAAGAGGATCGCTTACTCATTCCAAGCCCTGAGAATGTATGTGCTGTTATAGTAGCCCAAACATTATGCTAAATTCTTTCTTCAGAAAGATTATTTTTATTTTGGTTGGCTTCACACACAGTAACATTTGAGAATATAAGATACATAATATCCTGCTGTACCTATGTATGTTCTGCTCTGACAGTTTTTTGTACAAAAATAAACTATTCTGTCTCCACTAATAGCTCATGAATCTACATAAAAATTGAAGGTGATTTTGTGGTATTTATAAAATAAATACAGTAGTAACAGTAATTTAATTTGTAATTTGTAATTTAATTTGTAATTTACTAATAACAGTAGTAATTAGTTAATAGTAAAATTAATTATTCAGAGATTATAAATATATTTTTCATAGTAGTAAATTTTTTACATGAAAGAAAATAAAAATGGTGTTGATTTTACCTTTTTAGATGAAATTTTCATTGTTGTTATAGGAGCATGATTCTGGAAAAAGTAGAAAGGCATTATGTTAGTTGCTCAAGTAATTATTAAAGATGATTTGGCATTCAAAAATTGCCTCTTTTCTGTTGAAATTCAAGAAATCATCATTTCTCTTCTAATGCATATGTATTTTCAAAGTCTAACAATACTTGTATATAATACAGTCCCACTATTGGGAGTAAGGTGGTTTTGTTACAGAAATATATGTTAAACTAAAAGAAATGTTGCAATTATAACACATGTATCAATATAGTTTGTTAGAAAATAGTGAAAATTTGTGAGAATTAAAAAAGTGTTTCCTGGAATACTGAAACCAATGAATAACTTAGGAGCAAACCTGGGTAGTAGGTGGGAGGTTGTGAAACAGTACCCATCCTACCCCACAGCACATCCCTGCGCAGAAGGCACTACTGTTCACCTGACAAGTGTCGCTTTGGAAAGATGTATTAGCCTGACCCATACTTATTCATTCTTTTTTGTTGCAAACAAAGTAATAATGTTAGGGTTCTCCTTTGATAGATGTGAATTAGTTAAAGAACTAAAGAATTTTTCTGAAATAGTAATCCTTTTTGAAAGTCACTCCATTCATAACTTTACTTCTTAAATATTATTAGTTACTTTTAAAGATCAAAAATTAGATGTGATAACCTGATGGTCTGTGGAATTTTATTTAACTAACTGAAGTGGAAGCAACATCTCAAAATCAACTATGTCCATAACCATTTCATTTTCTGGAGAGTGTGATTTTACATTTAAAAGATAAAATGGTGATATCTATAAATGCGCTATGGCAACAAGTTTTGATCACTTTGAAATACACATGCATACAAAAAAAAGATGGAAAGTTATATCCACCTAGGCAACTTCTAATATTATATTTGTACCTCTAATTCAAGTTAAGCTTAGGAGAGCTGGATATATTTCCAGAAAATATTTTGAACAGAGGATTAAAATGAGAGATTATGGTTCTGCACAGTATAAAAAACAAGGTGCCTGTTTTTTAAAAGTTACATTGAGTTTTCTGTAGTATATCAGTGTGACACTTAACTAAGAACTTTTTTTTCAACTTAAATGCATCATTTCCTGATGTGCCCATCACAGTACATCATACACACCCAATTATTTTTACCTCACCTCTGAAAATGTGACACAAACACCATGTTTGAAGACAGTAACTGCATTTGGTAACTGGATCTCTCAATTTAGTCTCATCAATCATTGGCACACGCATCCCTAAGAAAGCTCAAACTTTTTTAGTCTCTCTCTCAGGTGGATGTCACCACATGCGTTTTGACTATTTTTCCACTGAGAGTTTATTCTTTGTGATGACAACATCAACAGAACTCATATAACAGACCATAAGTAGTTAACACATGATCAGAAGAACTCACGTTTCTTTAGGAACTTTCCATAACATATATGTTTGAGTTTGTGTCAAACTCACTTAATTAACATTTCCTGAGTACCAAAAAAAAGGTATTTCAGAATTAAAAATGAAGTGCTGCAATATGGCATTTTTGCTATCTTCAAAAGAAGTCTAGAATAAGGTACTTTATATTATTTTGATTACCCAAGTTGTCCCTATTGAATTAAATGAGAAAAGTATATTTTACATACAATGTTATTCTGGTTAATCTAGTGAAACAATCAATTTCTTTACAAAGCAAGGCACAGAAAGGGCAGTTGAGTGGACATGGTCAACATTTAACGAGTACAACTTTAATGCACTAATTATGAAATGTTTATGAAGTATGTCTAGCATTAAAAATTGTAAATTTAATAACATTGGGAAATGTGCCAGAATTCCTCACATCTTATATCTGATTTGATTCATTTTATAAAATATCCTTTCACATTTAAAATTTATTAACATAATCTAATAGCATTGAATCTTGAACACTTAAACACTTATAAATTCAGTATTTTTTGTGACTGTGGTAATGCATATTAATAAGTTAATACATTCTGCATCCACTAACCTAAACAGAGCTACCGACAGGACTAGCACTAGTCTGCTCCTGAGTTCTGAAATGCTTCTTTTATTCAATTCAAGGCTGACTCTAGTCTTTTGGTCCGTGGGCCAATGTCTCATACTTGGTTTAGTTAGAAATAGCAGAATGCAGTAGGATTGATTCCATGTCAAAGTTTCTTCTTCATTCCAGCAGCTCCTTTGTCTGTGCTTTTACCCATCTTTTCAAATGCAGGTAAAAGTGCTCACTTGAATTACGTGACCCACACCTTAAGGAGAGGATGGCACGACACCACTGGTCTGCTTTCCAGGCTCACAGACACACAAAGAACAGACACTCCGCCCTGACCAGGTAAGATCCTGTAGGACTGGACTTCCCTCTGTGTGCCTTTTTTCATTGTGCTGTGATCTTATTTTTTATTTTTAAATGATTAATTGAAGGACAGAAAGATTAATACAGTGAAATCTTAAGTTCAGAGAGAACATGTTTTGAATGATAAAGTGGCAACATTTGTTTTACTTAATTAGGGTGACATTTGAATTGAAAGCAATAAAATAAGAAAACAAAGGTTTTCTTGAAATTCCTGGCTAAAAATATGAGAAAGTTTATCTAACAATCAATAATATAAAAGTATTTAGGTTTCAGTGGTTTGTAAAGCAAATGAGAAAAGCACTTTCATGGCAGATTTTTCAGACTTTGACTACAAGTACTCATTTAAAAAAAATAATGACAAGCAAAATTCTTAAAGTTGTGATGACAGCTGAAAAAACTATTCCTTTTATGTTAAGATAGCTTGAAATGCATAAAAATATTTCAGATAAATATTTGTTCTATATGTCTCATTTTATCTGGTGTTTCCTACACTCAAAATTTATAACATTCTTTATTTGATCTTTTATAAAATATTATTTTTCTCCAAAGTGGTTTTATGAGTAAAGAATTCTGTTGATCGTGCGTCTTCAGAGAGTAAGAGATGTTCAAACCTTAAAAACTTCCAACTCCTCCAGAATGAGCTCCCCACCGGCAGAGCTGTTGGTAGGAAGAACCACAACCTTCTGCACAGTACCCCGATCTAAACCAGAGAAAGAAACAATGAGAGGTTACAATCATTTTTTAAAGGGAACAAAGACACTTAGATATAAAATTACTGGCTTAGAATTTGAAATATTATTCTTATGTCACATAAACATTTTCTAAGCATATGAATATGCCACTCTATGAATCATATATATGCTTGGTTTAAAAGAAACCAGTTGAGATTCACAATGTGGGAGTAAAGCAAATTTGAGTAATTTCATTAAGTAACTACCATTTTTTTCAAAATATGATTCTAATAAAATAATAATGAGATCTATCATAAATATCAAGTTATTTTTCTTTTAACATATGAGCATATACCTATGAATTTATAAATTGGAAAGGTAATTTTTTTTTAAAGATTTTATTTATTTATTTTTAGAGAGGGAAGGGAGGGAGAGAGAGAGAGAGAGAGAGAGAGAAAAAATCAATGTGCGGTTGCTGGGGGTTATGGCCTGCAACCCAGGCATGTACCCTGGCTGGGAATCGAACCTGGGACACTTTGGTTCCCAGCCCGCGCTCCATCCACTGAGCTACGCCAGCCAGGGCTAGAAAGGTAAATTATTACATATACTGAAACATTTTAAAAATTCTGTTGACAAAATATCAATGAGAAGAGGTAACTTGAACTGAGTTGCACAGGAATTTACAACTAGGAATCATTTAGTGATGATCACCACAAGTCTCAGAATCTCATCTCAAATTGTCTTCTTTTCCACAAGCAAGAGAGACTCTGCCATGAAAGATCCCATTTCATGTTTATGGTTTCAATTGCATGCACTTAACTGAAAGACTCAAAATAATTCTTAATAAGAAATAAACTCTAACATTTTACTAACTAAAAAATTAAAACCTACTAATAACAAAAATGTTTATATACAGAGGAACAAGATAAGGATTTTTCCAGAACAATCCTTGAATCTTGTGAGGAAGCAAAGTATCTGACCTTAGAACCACCTGATCTTAGAAGTTTCAAACTACACTTCTTAAGCCACACTCAAATAAAAAATAATCCCAAACTCTGCAGGCTTTAGGTATGATTTAAAAACTTTAATTTTTTTCTGTTTCACTGATTAGCTTCCTTAGAATCAACCCTGGTAACAATCTGTAATATTTTCTTAGAAGGTAAGTAATAAAAAGCATATATTGGAAGTGAAAAGACATTTGAGGATGCTGTGCAGAGATGTCACAACTGAAAACCAGCCAATATTGTTGAAGGTGTTACCCATTTGCACTAACAGTCTATCACAGAGAGCAGCGGAAACTTCTGGGGAAATAGAACATACTAAAATATCTAAAATGAAATCTCTGAAATTATAACACTCAGAGCAGGATTGTTTTTTGTGTGTACGTGATGGACAAGAGTGTAAAAACATATCTGTTTTAGGTCATTTTATCACAAAGGCCATGTTTTTTTTGAAGATGAAGAAGTCACAACAGAGCTTTATGGTTCCCTGCTGCAGCTTGTAAGGATCACTGTCGTTCTTCATGACAGCAATGACCTCGTTCTTGAGTAGAGACTGAGCAGAAACTCTTTAACCACAGTCCCAAATAAAACTACAGGAAAGGAAATCTTGATTACAGGGGTTCCCAAAGATAAAACTATCAAATCTGAAAATAATTAATTATTCTCAAAAGAGACAACTGGCTCCATTCTTTACCCAATGTCCCAACTTACTCTGAGAGCAAAATTTTACATAAATCATCATTTCTTCTGAAAGAACCCCAACATACTTTATTCATGCCATTTATAAAGTATTACAAAGAGAGCAGCTATAAAATGGCCTAATAAAGGGATAATGCAAAACTTGGTTTTTATTCATTTGCAATAAAAGCTAGAATGCCCCCTTTTTATTGCTTGTTTCTATTTTAGTATTTTTTAAATTTTGCTGGTAATGATGAGTAAATTTCCTTTTTATTTTAAGACCATTAAAGGGAAAGCTATGTTGTTCTACCAAGTAAAACTGAATGTGAAGTTATTTGAAACTCTTGCAAAAATGTAAGTAAATTTAAGTATTGGTAGCAATACTGAAAATGAACTTTAAATAAAATCATAAAAATGAAAAATCCACAAACAAATATTTCCTGGATGCCTACTATGAGTGGCTCTATGATAAAAAGGTATTATTTAAATATGACTTTCAAGAAAATAAATCTCCATTTTAATTCTTTAATTTTCCATGTTTAGATTTATTTCAGTATTTTATGACCTAGCATTTCTGCAGAGCCCTTTATTACACTGATTCAGTTTTCACCAGCATATCTCCAATGCACATATTTGTTCTTATTATAATTATACATAATAAAAGCTTTTTATTTGTAAATTAGAGTAGTCATTCAAGTCTGTAGTTTCAAATAGGAATGGGATAGGTTTAAATCCTTGTAGTACTGTTTTCATCACTATTAACAATAATTAACCCAGGTTGTATGAGACATTCAACTGATGTAGTTTAGGGGGACTTCTTTAAGTAAAATAATACAAAAAAATATAAAAACAGAGCTGTTTGAGTCTTTCCCAACAAGACTGAGTGAGGAACTCTAAAGATATGGTAAATCCACCTTTGATAATTAGTCTAACTTTCTAAATAAAAAAGATATTATAAAATTGGACAATGATATATTCTTTAAATTGAATGATCTCTAATTATTCAATATTTACAATCTCTTATTACTGCAATTTTATTGTTCAAGATCACTCTTTCACAACTCAGAAAAAGGTTGGAGAAATCTCTCCTTTCATTAATGTAAACAGATCTAACTCTTTATTTAATTTATTCATTGGCCTTTGTTCTACCACTCCCAAGAATATACTCAATCTCTTTTCTACATCACTCCAAGTTTATCTTTGTATGTCCATACTCTTACTCCATTCTAAGCAGGATTGCTCCCTTCAGGCATACCTTATTCAAATTAAAGCCAAAATAATTTTCCCTGTCTTTCTCTGGACATCCTGCAGGTTGGCATTACACCATTTAAAAAGTGGTGCTCAGAACTATGTCAGTTTTTTTTTTACAGTGATTCCTGATCTCACTGGGACTGGAATATTTAAAAGGCAAAGCAACAGTTCTGGTAGTTGACCAATAACTTAGGTGACTGCACAGAATCTCTAGGACTTGAAGTCTCAGAAACAAATACCCCAGCTCTAGTCTTGTACACCATTCACAAAGTTCCACTCTGGATGTCCTTATACTTCTGCCCCTGTTCCAAACTGCCCAAAACCCACAGCTTCTAGTTCAGATTCTCATGACATTTAATTTGGCCCAATTTAATCATAACTTGAAGCACATCACAAACCAATACCTCATAGACAGTTCAGTTGTCGAATGCGGTTAAGTGTGATTTCAATCAGTTATGGCACCAGGAAAGAGTCAGTATATTTGGAATCAGCCCTGACTGCTCCCTAAGTGGCCCCATGCTAATAGGATGGTTTCTTTCAAAATGCAGTCCTGGTAGAAACCACTAGTTTTCATGTCAAAACATAGTCACATATCCTTCACTTCTCTACATAGAAAATACTTTTGAGGTATTCATGGGCTGTATCATTCACCACTAACTAAATAAGTACACTTATTTATGTCTTCCATCCATTTTTGCTGATTGAATGAACAAGAAGTCATTGAACACCTTCAGTGTGTCAGACAGTTTAAAAAGTATGTATGCAGAGATAAATACACATAGCATTCAAGAGTTCACAGTTTAGAATTTATGTTTTTTTGAGTAGCAGGTGTGTTCCCATTAAAACGTTAGTCATTGAAAAATATGCATCTTAGAATGTTTATAAAACTTTGTACCTTTCAGTTTCAAGATAATACTGTAGTTATCAAATGTTTTCCTTCTGGAGGAAGTAAGAATGGCATTTCTTGAACATACTCACAATATAAACCATTTTTATTCTATAGAATTGGGACATAGCTTTAATTTCTTTGGGAAAAGCACACACCTACAATATAGTTACAGTAAAGCAGATAATCTTTCTTTTCCTCCTTAAGCCTCAGTTTGCTTGTGTGTACAATGTAAATAAAAATTATACCTTTTGTAATGGATATCTGTTACTAAGGCCTACCCAGAATCACCCCACCTCGTCTTTTGATAATACACCCTGAGATATATTGGAAACAACCCCTCTCTCATTTTCAGTCCACATGGTTAAGGAATGCTGTGACTCTGTTCCTGCTCTAGGGAGATACGCATGACTCAGGCTGGTCCCAAAGGGCATTCCATTGCCTCCGTGATTCACGCAGGAGTGAGCACAGAGACAAATCAGAGCCCAGCCCTTCCTAAGAGTTCTAGGTGACAACCTCTTTCTTGCAGAGATCAGGGCTATTAAAGAGCTGTAAGTCTGGAGAACTGGAGCCATCCTTGCTGCCATACGCTGAGGATTCATCCTGTGAGTACACTCAAGGGAGGCCATTCTCACTACCCCCAGAAGGAAGGCATTTGATAACTACCTTATCATCTTAAATTAAAAGATGCACAGATGGCTTTATGTAGACATAAGTAATTGGAAGTTGTATTGATGTTCTAAAATGCTTACCTATCAATGTCTAACACTTTAATTGGAACACACATAAATTCCTGACATTCTTTTAGCACAAATTCAGCTATGTTTGAGGCTCACTCCTGCATTTCCAAGGTGAACACACAAACACACACACAAAGATTTTTTTTAACTAGTTTGAGTAAGGTGTATGGTCACTTTCAGTTGAAAGAGTTCTGATTAATAAAAACTACACAAATAATACATAGAAATTTCTTAGTATGATATCTGGTACATAGTAATATCCTCAATAAGTGCAAGTTATTTTTTTATTTGTAGCTCAGCCACTTACTGAAGTTGTGACATTATTAGAGTCACCATTTTTTCTTAACCCCAGTTTTCTCATCAGTGTGGTATAGATAACACACATCCCTTGAATACATTAAAACATTGTTATGTGAATCCAGCAAGAAGAATCTTATAAGTGTTTTTTGCATAATGTAAACATATGCACAAGG